GAGGCGACGCAGAAGCGGTCGCTCCCGCGGAACATGACGCCGGCGATGGACGAGGAGTACCTGCCGCCGCTGTTGCGCTACAACATCAAGCTCCTCGAGGTGCTGGCGGGCTGCGCCCTGGGGTCCATCGACATCACGACGGTGGAGGCGAAGCTGCAGAATCTGTACCCGCCCATCCAATTATTGCAGGCGATTTTGGACAAGCGGACGACGCTCAACGCGCGCTACGCGCTGTCCATGTTCCTCTACCACACGACCATCGAGGTCGAGATCAACGTGCCCGCCTTCGAGCGCAACTCCCTCGTCTGGTCCTTCATCGGCACGTTCCCCGTGGTCTTCCGGGACGCGGTCGACTGCTGCACGCAGCCGCTCGAGCCAGGGCAGCAAAAGGGTGATTCAATGTCGCTTCAACGTGAGTGTTCCGCGCGCGCGCGTTTCGGCAACAGCACCTACGCTTCGAGAGCGCTCCGAGAGATGATCGCTCGTCCAAAAATCAGCCGAAACGAGCGGAAAACGACCGAGATAGGAGCCTTTGAAGTTGGGAATTTCGCACCCTTTTGCTGCCCAGGCTCGAGCTCGGCCTCCTGAGCGACGGGCCGACGGGCGTGACGTCGCGGCTCCAGCTCGCCCACGCGCTCCTCTGCGCCCAGTTCATGCGCGTCTTCATGGAGCGCTACGTGCCCGGGCCGTCCTCCTGGCGCGAGGTCGAGATGGACCCCGTGCTCGTCGAGGCGATGGGCGGCGGCAAGCAGAGCCTGCTGAGCCACAGCACGCACTCGTCGAGCCACCGGCGGAACCAGCGCGGGTCCGTGGACCAGCAGCAGGAATCGTCGGCGCATTTGCTGGAAGACGACCTGCTGCCGAGCTGGCTCGACACGATCGTCGAGCAGACCTTCAAGACGCTCACGGCGCTCTACGACATCGACGAGGACGTCATGCCCCGGGACCACCGCCTCGTCTTCCACGACACGCTGGTGCGCCTCTCCATGTCGCTCCACGGGTCCCAGTACCACGTCGCGCCCCTGCTGGACAAGCAGAGCATCATCTCGGAGGACACGCCGGGGCCGCACGACATCATGACGCCCGCGGCGACCTTCAACCACCTCGTCGCCGACCTGCAGGACTCGGAGGACATCGACACGTCCGAGGACGTCGTGCGCATCGTCAACACGTTCAACAGCCTGCCGCACCTGGCCGACATCAAGGACACGCCGTCCGCGCCAGGGCAGGACAAGAGAGCGAAATTCCCAACTTCAAAGGCTCCAATCTCGGCCATTTTCCACTCGTTTCGGCTGATTTTTGGACGAGCGATCATCTCTCGGAACGGTGTCGAAGCGTGGATGCTTTTTCCGGAACGCGCGCGCGCGGCACTCACGTTGAAGCGACGTTGAATCACCCTTGTCCTGCCCAGGTCCGCGCCGCCCGTCGAGCCCCTGATCATGAAGCTCGTGTCCCACACGCTCGGGCGGCTGAAGCCGTCGGCCCGGGGCAAGAAGCTCGACCCGGACTGCACGCGGACGGCGCGCTGGCTCGTGAAGATCTTCCGGGCCATGATCGAGAAGGCGTGGGGCATGTCGATCGACGAGCGCGACGACGACGGCGGCGAGGAGCAGGACGTCGCGGCCTACGACATCCAATTGATGCTGAATAGGTGCGGCGTGACGAAGCTGTGCCTGCTGCTGATCGCGCCGGGCATCGACCGCGAGCTGAGTTTAGAAGGCATCAAGCTCTGCATCGCGCTGCTCTTCCGCGAGGGCGGCAACACGGCCGTGCAGGCGACGATCAACGAGGTGCTGAAGCAGGACTGCGAGCAGTTCTTCAAGGCCGTGCGCGAGTACATGCTCGAGATCAAGAACTACTATCTCTACGGCGACCCGCCGCTCGTCGAGGACCCGGAGGAGGACGTCGAGATCCCGGGCACGTGCATGGTCATGCGCTTCCTCCAGCTCATGTCCGAGGGCCACTTCGAGCCGAACCAGGACATCATGCGCGAGCAGCCGTTGACGAACATCAACCTCCTCGACGACTTCGTCGAACTGCTGTCCATCCTGAGCCGCGACAAGCACCGGTGCCGGTCGTCGACCAAGGCCGCGCTCCAGGCCGCGAGCACGCTTTTGGAAGTCATCCAGGGGCCCTGCAAGAAGAACCAGATGCACCTCGCCATCCACACGGAGCTCATCGAGATTTTGAATAGGATCACGCGGTCGAAGCCCATCCGCGACTGCCTCGTCGAGGAGGACAACGAAACCAAAAAGACGGCGCTGGAGATCTACGAGGGGCTGCTCGAGGGCGAGACGGGCAACAGCGTCATCATCACGCGCATCATTTCGGTGATCGACCTGGAGGTGCTCAAGGACATCATCGAGGAGCGCGACGAGGACGACTTCGCCGACGAGAAGCATCGCGAGTTGGGCGAGATCCAGATGGAGGCCGCCGTGCTCTGCCAGATGTTCTTCGACTACAAGCCGGCGCTGCGGGAGACCGTGACGTTGAGCCGCCCCATCCAGCGCCTCCTGGCGAAGCGCGTGACGTCCGTCGAGGTCGTCTGGGACGGCGTGCTGTTGCGCCGCTTCTTCCCCGTGCCGTCGATCTGCGACCACATCTCCGAGGCGACGCGCCAGAAGCTCGTGACGGACGTCGACCGCACGACGGACGAGCTGCGGCTCCAGGACTTTTTGGTAAGAGCGCACGACATCTTCCGCGAGATCTCGCACCAGCAGCTCCTCAGCGAGATCAAGTTCGGCCAGATCTCGCTGTCGTCCATCTTCTCGCGGCGGAACCAGGAGTACGCGACCTGGCTCGCCTTCTACACGGCCTGCGTCATCAACGGCATCATGATGGCCTACGCGAAGCACGAGCGGCCGGAGAACCCGGAGAACCCGCGGCCGTTTCAGACCAAGGAGAACGACCTCATGTGGGTCGGCAACCGCAAGTCGGTCTACGACTTCGTGCTGACGCCCCTGAACGTCTTCAACATCATGCTGAGCTCCTTCACGCTTTTATTGTTTTTAGTGGTCCGGTGCCCCGTGACGTACGCGTCGCTCATCGAGAAGGGCAAGGGCCCGGCCATGGCGCTGTTGAACACGATGCTCGACGCCATGACGCTCTATTATTTCATCTACACCCTATTCGCGGCGCTGGGCCTCAAGTTCCGCATCTTTTCGGCGTTCCTGCTGCTGGACATCATCGTCAAGGACCCGACGTCGCAGGACGTCATCAACGCGATCGTCTACCCGCGGCGCCAGCTCGGCGCGACGGCGCTGCTCGGGTTTTTCGTGGTCTACATCTTCGCGATGATCGTCTTCCAGTCCTTCTCCGACGACTTCTCCTACACGGACGAGGGGCCGGAGGGGAGCTTCCCCGAGGACTGCCGGAGCCTGCTGCGGTGCTTCGCGGTGACGATGATGTACGGCCTGCGCCTGTCCGGCGGCATCGGCGACATCATGAAGCACACGTGGTCCACGCGCCTCTGGATCGACTTCCTCTACTTCTTGATCGTGCTTATTGTATTGTTGAACGTGATCTTCGGCATCATCATCGACACGTTCGGCGAGCTGAGGAACCAGAAGGGCGAGCGGCTGCGCAAGACCGTGGAGAACTGCTTCATCTGCGGCCTGGACGGCCTCACCTTCGACCGCGCGTCGCCGGAGCCCGGCGGCTTCCGGCGCCACAT